ACGACTCTCTGATTAATATATAGCTGAATGATCTAATAGGCTATGTTTATAGGGCGAGCTACTTAGCTTACCTCAACGTGTGATCATACCTAAACTTAGATTCTTAGAGGTTTTTAATAACTTCTCTTTCGATGAGACTGAACTGCCCCTGCGCTCGGCAACTAATTGATTTGTTTGACCTGTATGATACCGGAATTCCATCTCCTCTACTGAGCTTGCGTGACTTCTCTCTTGACTTCCCCGATCTATTGAAAGAATTCGGCGTTTAAAGGCCTGGTCATGAGGTATGAGAGAAGACCTAAACAGCTATTAATCGGAGTTTTCGTTAACTTGGGTTAGCCGACCTCTTAGATCATACCTTCTGACACCTAATCTTAGATTTCGTCTACTAACGAGGATACACCTACTGTTTAAGCTTTGGGCTCATACTCTATCTAAATATAACTAATTGCTGTGCCCTGACACTTATTATCTTAAGACACTTACCACTGCGCTAACGCTTGCTGGAATTCCTCAACGCTGTCGCATTGAGCGATTGGAATTCATTACTAATAAGGTATGGTAACCTAGGAACCTACTTCCTAAACCTTGCAGCTACTTGATTGGAGTTAGGGGTGCGGGAAGCAAGAAGCCTTAAATCGCCATAGTCCCTCTAAGAAGCTGGCCGTGGATTTTCCACATAGCTAGTTAGCAGGCTGAGGTCTCGTTCGTTAACGGAATTAACCAGACAAATCGCTCCACCAACTAAGAACGGCCATGCACCACCACCCATAGAATCAAGAAAGAGCTCTCAGTCAAGGTTAGAGAGAGTAGAGAGCATCTCTCACTAAGAAACTCACGAATCTTAGGACCTTGCCCCTTCTTGAGCTCATATTCCATCAATTTCATGTGTTTTTTTCGCTGAAATTCTGCAATCTCGACTATTTAACCTCCATTCCGAGTTTGTTCAAGTCTAAATCCACTTATTTTGGGCGTGATTTCAAGCATTTCTGGGCAATTTCGTTCGCGGTGCTACAGTACCTCGCGATCCCTTGCAGCGATTTTTCTGGAAGCATCATCGATTTTGTTGTTGTCCCTAGCCAATAGGTGTTTCTGGCCTATCTCCGAGCTACAAGCATACAAAAATCCAGACTTGGGGCATGTTCGTGACCTAGGGTTCAGCTGCTACAGTAACCCAACAGTCATATTTGCACCATCCTGGAAAAATGCCTAGGTCAAGGAAGAAAACAAACTACCGGCCTCTGCTGCTTGAAAACTCTTATGAACGAGATGTTCCTGAGTATGAGCATGATCTTGAAGATGATTCAGACNCAACACTTCAAAGCCTATCAGCCCAGTTGCTGCACACAAGACGCAAGAGGATCAAACTGAAGCTTCTGCTACTTCATATAGCACTGCTGATGATGCTGCCAATGTGGTTACATCAAATCCCTTCCATTGAACTCATGGGCCTCTTCCTATGCCTCTTCCTCTGTTCAAACATAAAACATACATTTCAAAACATATTCAAAGAAAATGGCTATTCTTACACTAACATCAGCATGTACATGAAGAAAGCGGCTATTCTCATTTTTACACTATCAGATCATACTCATATTTATTTCCAATTAAAATTTTGAAAACAAAAAAACAGTAAAAAAAAAATAATTAAATTACCAGTCTATATCATCAAGCTCATCGTTCTCATTGACGTCCTCTATGTTTGTAGCCTCTTTCTCGGGTAACGTTTCAATGATCAACTCCATCAGATCCTCCTGATCCTTTAATGATGCAACTTCATCAAGAGAAACTTGACAATCACCCCCGATGTCATTCTCTTGATATGCAACATCTGCTACTAATGTGTCACCAGTCACATGTTCTTCATCCATCTCATCCACATCATATACATGACGATGTTGAAAAGGCTGTACAACTCGCCAATCTTATCCGAGTTTAGGATCATTGAGATAGAAAACTTGTCTGGCTTGATCAGCAAATATGTATGGATCATCTTGATACCATCTCCCCGCAACA